AAATAAGTGAGATAACAGCTGGTAACTTGGGAGGGTTACTTCCTTCCTAGTCCTCAGTCAGTTTCTGTATGAAATTTTATTTGGGGAGAAATCTGACAAAAAATTGATAAAAATCTCTTTTTTATCAGAAAAAAAACCATGATGTTTTGGAAAAATAACATTTAAAAGATCATTTTCATGAAGAAAAAATATATTAAAACAAAAAATAAAATTCAAGGATAATTGTTAAAGAAATTTTCTTAGGACAATAGTTTATAAGAAGCCTGCAAAATAATATCAATAATTACACCTGGGAATGACAACAATACATTTTATTTCTCACCTATATGATTATTTTTCATTGTAATGAATTTACTATTATTTGCTTAAAAAAGATGATATATTATCACGAGGGACTGTATTTTGGGAAAAATTTAAGTTTYGTGTGGTATAGTGTTCTACCACAATATTTCTAAGCAGATATTCATAAATCAGAACTTAAGATCATTTCAGAATCTCTTTCTGAATTTCAGAAATCACAACTGATTATACAAAATAGAATTAAAAAACCCTTGAAATCATGAAAAAGCTTGCAAAATATTTATAGAATGATTAAGYATATGCCATAGTGGACCATATTAACAATTTCAAAATAAGGATTTAGTATGAAGTAGATATGACTGTTCTCCTAAGTCTAATATATTAATATGCCTATGTCAACTATGAATCAACTATTTTGGGGAAATCTCAATCTTCTGCTTTAAAAAAGTGATAAAAGCATCTAATGTTCTTAGTAGCAGAAGACATTAAAAAAAATACAAAAAGAGAATAACCTAAAAGCTCAAAACTCAGAGGAAAAATGAAGAGAACCTCAAACATATTAGCCTGTAAAATTTGGTATTAAAGTCACACTTTTTCTGGAACCTGACAAAATATTTCTGAATACCCAAAGTGGGCAAACTGCAAATGATTTTAGAATGTGATTGAAGAATTTTGTGTAAGTACTTTTAGATTTGTGGTGAAAGGAGAAGGCAGTTGAAATGTTCTGGGTAAGAGATTTTTTTCAGAACGTATTCAATCACATTAAAGGATAATTGCTGCTTCTTAGTAATAAGCATGAACCTCTCTGAAGAGTGTTGCTGCCTCTGGAATAGACATGCACTTCTGAAATACCTCCATCCCTAATACACAGAAACTGTTACCTGTAGGCACAGTCTCCCACCTCTGCAATCATACACCTCTCATAAGTCTTGCTTCTTCCTTTAGAGTACAGCAAGAACTATGATATCTTGCTAAATACAGCACTCCAAAGCATGTGAAACACCTRTGTGAAATAGATAGGAGACTCTGTTTTCTTAAGCAAAGCATGAGGCCTAACTCTGCTCCGTGTCTGCACACTTGACTGAATGCTACAGTTCAGCCACAGCAGATATTCTCAGCCATATCTCTACCATTTTATTTTAAAGGACTGACGATATAGGTGGAGCCTGCTGGAAGTTTATGTCAGCTCTAAGTTGCTGATGGTGTCGGAACATTTGTGTTGCAGCCAAMACACACATGGGCTTCCGTGGGCCCTGTCACCACTGTTTGCCTAACAGTGACTGCAACAAGTCATACYGGCCAGAGGCACCAAAAGGCACCGGCCAGAGGCAGTGAAGGCATCCGTCCTTCCACCGTGCTCTGTCATCCCAAAACTTTCTGTTGGAGGCTTGTAAATGCTAATGATATTTATTTATTATTTCATTCCATTCAATGGGATTTTATTTCCAATGTTTTTGAAAGCTGTTACTGATCACTACTGAGTAATATAAATTGATGACATGAAAATATCTTTGTGTGCATGAATTGAAGTAGCACAGCTGTTATGACTGCATAMAATAGTTGCCAAACTAGATCAGCGAAGCTTTCATTTGCCAGGCAGGTAAATTAAACAAGAGAAATCTTCTATTGTTTAGATAGTTCAAAACTGTCTAATATTATTAATAAACATTTTTGTTTGTTTCTAACGGTATTCTGGTATACATGCACAGTAACAGCATTTCCAAGCTTCATGGAATCCATTTTGTCCCTTCAATTTTTATTTTCTGTCTACTGTTGCCAAAGAACAAATTCATTTTATTTCTTCTTAAATTGTATTTTCCTTATAACTCACAGATTTATACAAGGCAGYTTTTATAAGCTTTAAGTGAGATGCCCAAGATGAAAAAGTTTTACGATGCACAGAAAGAGAATATTTCTGTTTTATTGTATAAATATTTTCCTTCCTTCTTTTCAAGGCTGAAATGAGTTTCTAAACATACATTTAACTTACAAATATAAGTGAAAAGTGACATTATTGGATTCATAAGAGACCTAGTGATCCTTACTATGACTTGTTTCCTGCAGCATACGGTAGCATATTTGCGTAGTTGTTGGAGAGTTTTCTCAGAGATTTGCTAGTCCCCCCCTCAGTCTGCAGGGATTAGACCAACTGCTCCTACATCTCAGACATATTCCCTAATCACAGAGATAAAGTCATGTTCCCTTCCTCTTATTCCATTGTGGGCCTTACGACTCTGCCCAGTAGTTTCACCCATTTCAATGGAAAGCTTCAATCCATTTTCAGAGCACCCACTATCCCTCACTTTCTGCACAAACACCCGAGATGCTGGAGCACTGGGCAGAGGAGGCAGCATTGCCACCAACAGAACTTTGCTCTTTTAGGCTTTAGCACTCTTTAGCAGAGCACTTGGGAGTCCACATGAATATACATATATCTCCTGTGAGTCAGGGGTTTAAGCTACAGAGAGAGCACAAATTCACATGTATCAAACATGGGTTTTGGACTAGGGAGGAGTCCCTTGCCCACTATTTAGACTCTTCAGAAGTACACTGAAATCTCTCCTCTGCTTTAACAGACAGAGTAGGCCTGGATCTTTCCCAGTGGGATTTGTAATTTAAGTTGTATTGAATTATTTTTAGCAGACAGATAGGGAATAAAACAGATTTGGTGACTCAACTCTCTGAACATATGCTTTAGATGTTTTTCATAATTATACCTTCAAAATTCATTCTGTATCATATTCCCCTCTTTTATAGTTCCTTAAAAATCCTAATAATAAATTCACCTATTATAAGAAATATGAAATAAGATGACACAATTCTTCCACATGCAACCTACATGCCTTCTCTCCTCATCTATAATTCCAGAGATCCAATTACAGAACACATGCCTGGCAATTTCATATCTGAACAATGCCTGTTTTGCATCGCACAAACTCTAAAATGCATTTGGCATGCCTTAATTTTGGTGGCCTACTTAGAGTTTTTATATTTAATACATGATATAAAAAGATTTGATAATTAAAGGGAGAGGTCACAAGCTTAAATGCTTGGACTGTCACTACTGAATATTCCTTTTTAGCAAAGTAAGCTAGAAAACAGAATTAGTCTCTTTCTTCATGTCTATTGATGGATGARTATCGTCTTTCAGTTCTTGAATTCCAAATATGAGCACTTAGTGTAGTAGGCACAAATTCACATAGCACAGATGTCATGCAAAAATGTTGAAAATGTGTTTTAGTTTGATATCAATTTGATCTAAACTCAGGATATGTTTAGGAATTGTTTAATACCTTATTACGTTATGTACTTAGTATACATGAGCTTTCTCTATTATTCATCTGAAACCAGTGCAGCTCAGCTTAGTCAAGAGGATTTATGGCCTACTTCAGGCTGAAATTTGGAAAAATGTGCATGGTACATTCATTAATCAATGAGACCCTTCTTTTTACAGTCTATATTTTGTAGCAGACACTGAAATTGGATCTGTTTAGGGGAATCTTCTAATTCAAAAGGAGCCCCGCAGAAATTCGTTCTGCTCAGTCTATGGATTTTATTCCTATTCTTTCATGACATGACTTCTAGAAAGCCACAGTTCTCATTTGAACCACCTTGTAATTGTGGTGATCTACATTATTGAAAGTATACATTATTGAAATCTAAATCTCATTTAATTCTAAGTTTTTGGACAGGTGTTTTTCAACCAGAAATACAAAAAGAGTGAGTATAAGTCAAAAGACTGTGTGGTAACACAATTAGAAAGTATAATAGGAAGTTAAGTCCTGTAGATAGCTACAGAAACAACGTTAATTTCACTTCATCTGCAAGAYTGTGAGGAGTTAACTTTTTTAAACCATGCAGTTACATGTGAATAACATGAACGTTAGAGTCAATAACTTGGGAGGTAATGAAATGGATAGTATGCAGACAGATTTACTACAGAAACAAAATTATAAATAGCAGTTTGGAGAGAGTAAGACACAACATTTGATTTCCCCCTGTGACTGTGGCCTAAATATGCTCATGGTTCGCTATATTCGCAGTACTATAGTTATTAAGGACTGGAACTGGCAGTGGAGTTTTGCGCTACAAAGAAAATACTATATTCCACTGTGAGTACAAACTCACTCTAAATATCTCTATAATCTAACTTGCTAAGTGAGCCATAATAACTTCAAACACCACTGTTTCACTAGACATTATGTTACTTAAAAGTTTTCTATAGGGAGGAGTTCTCTTGTCCATCAATTTAATTAAACTGATTCCTGCTTTTATTTTTATTCTTTCCTAAACCAATAAGCTAACAGTGATTTTTGCTAGGGAATTAGCACTGAACAGAATCAAAGACTGGACCTTTTACTAGCATACTTGCAAAGAGGAAAAAAAGCCTTTGCCATTTATTAATGTATTCAAAAGACTGTTACAAAACTTTACAATTTAATTATTGGAAGATTACAGAACTGCTTCAGTGCTTCTCAACTGCATTAAATAAGCTGTACGTGCAAGGAGTAATAAATGAAATTGTTAATTTTAGTGCATCCTTAGGGAATATCAAGGGGGGGGGTTACATTATTTAGAGCTCCAAATGGATTTGARTTTATATACAGTAATAAATCTTAACTACATTGTTAATTAACCCTGCCTCAAGCCCCCTTTTACCTCAGGGGTTGAAAGACACAGTGTCTGTTAGGATAACTCACCATTCATATTCTTAAAGATGTTTAGGACTGGGAGGATTTGCCGATAATAGGGCACCAAGGCCTCCCCCACCATGTCGGCTGACACCACCAGGTGCTGGAGGACTTTCAGCGTGATGCAGATGACCTGTCGGTTACGAAGGCTCAGTGCATCTGTGATGTAGAAAGAACCACAGGCAGAAAGAGCAGAATTAACTTCTAAAATGTAAAGGGAGGGGGAGGAGTCCTCTAATGGACAAATTTAATTAAACTGTATGCTACTGGGGATTGCAAGTGGGCCTTTATTAGCCGCTTTGAAAGATCCCAAAGATGGATTGCAGTCCTGATGTTATAAAACACTGCCTTGTCTGATTGTTATTTGTTCCCGCAATTTGTGCTGACTCTTCAGTAACCCAAAGAATGCAGCTCATTATTCCCTCATGCTGCCAGTGTAATGCTGGCCTGGTCCAAAAAAAAAAAAAAAAAAAAAAATCAGTAAGTACCATTTGGGGCCAATGGCACCATACAAATGCAAGACAACCTGCAAAGGTTGACAACAGATACATTCTAGTGCAACAATTAGCCTATTTGTATGTTTGTTCCCATTTATTTTGCAATTATTTTATTCATTTAACAAACAATTCTAGCTATTCGGAGAATCAGTACAATGAAGCAAATGTTTATAGGAAAGGAAAAACAAAAAAACCTTGTAGGCTTTTCAAAAAAAGACAAACATTCTAGAAAAAGAAAAAAGATTTCTTCTTGCCTACTTAGATTTTTCTCTAAAAGCTAAGCTTTCAGTGTCATGCTTTTAATCTTATGACAGTAACATAGTTCATGAGTATTGTTTGTTTCTGTTCCTTCTTGGTTTTAACAAAAGAAAGTACTTTGCATTCTCTTTTGCAATTAAAAATGAATCATGCTTGAAAAGTTTTGTATTTCTTTTTTCTTTTTTTTTTTTTCCAAAATCTCTCTAATGGTAAGGCCTCCCTTGAAATCATGCACTTGGGGGCAATTGTCATGTTTGGGATGCTATTACTTACTTGTCTAATTCTTCAGTGCTTTACCCACTTACACAAACCTTTATATCATTGCATTGTGAAAGCAAAATCTGTAAAAGCTAAGCTCAAATTCAATGTCACAGATGTCAGAATCACTGAAATATATGAAAATGTGACAATATAATCTAAGTATAAACATTTCAAATAAAATATAGTCACAAATACAACTGAATTTGAAGAAGGGCTACTTGCTAATAACTTCCCCAAGAACTCTCTCTTTTTGCTTAAGTAATRGGATAGAGCATTTCCAGCAAAAAATTTTGTCACTATATATAGTATACATTGTTCCATAGGGAATGTGGTAGCATTCTGACATGACAGTGATGTCAGTTATTCCACCTCCTCAAGCAGGGGCCCTGTGCCTCATTTGCTCATTTTTTCATGAATACTGATGGGTAAAAAACATCATGAGGATGGGAAGGACAGATTTATTGCATGACATGAGGAAACAAGTCTTGAAAATAAACTAATAATAAGTGATGTCTCTTTTCATGCCTCTTTGCATGCTTACTAAGAGCACCTTAACAATACTCTTGCTATATGACAGTGAGGAAGTCCCAGGTATAAAGGGGCTCTCGTGCATCACAGGGCAATTCCAACTCATTGAAGTGATATTAAGTGAAAAATTACTGAGATTAGGATGTATATGTAATGTATATTATTAAACTGTCATAAGCAGAACTGAACTATGAGGGAAATCACAACTATTCCCTGTAATTTTCAATAGAAAAATTATTGTAAAAATTGTCTTAGCAGGTATCATGACCTCTCCGTCTTTAGCCAATGCATATATTGTACCCACTTCTATGAATGATTCTTCCTGACTGCAGAAGCAGGCCTCTAGGATGAGGGCCCTTACTTTTTGGCATGCAGAGAGAAACATTTAAGTGAGAATGGGCTGTCCAAGAACCCACAGGAAGTCTTTGTCTGCAGAAACCTTTGTCTCCCAAAGGTTTCCAGACAGTTTCCAATTTTCAAAATTCTGCCCTCTGCAAAGGCAGCTCTGTGCTGGGTGGACACTGGGACTGTCTCTTAATAAAATCAAATGTGCGAAMTGTGTCTGTGCAGCCTCAGTTATTGCAGCAATTGAGTACTTGCTGGGTCCAGAAGAATGTTTCCAAAGAACAGATCATCACAGAAATCATCATGCAAGTAAGGATAGATGAATGTTTCCTTACATCTGAGCTGTGCTACAGCGGTACTTACTAGAACCTTGATTGGTAATACTGGCAATTATTTCTTCTGCAATTAGAAAAATAATTCAGATCTCTATCCCTGACCTCACAATATTAGAACATCTTCTCACCAGTTTGACACACACAGCAAAAGAATTTGGATCAAGATGTTGAATGCCAGTGATGGATATGGTAGAACAGAACAGACTGCAGAATTTAAGCCTGAAGCCCTTCAAAATTGCAGAAATTTGCAGTGTGCGTTAGGAAAACACTTGTAAATATCAAAAGTAAGATCAATTTGACTGCAGAACTGTTGTTGTTATTATTAAATATTTGGACTGTGGCATGCATAACAGTCAACCAGCTCCTGGCTTGATTATATTAGGCACTGTATAAACATTTAATTAGAGACAGTCCATGCCCCAAAGATATATAAATTTTAAGCATATGTTTATTTTTAAAAAATCTGGTAATTATTATCTATGTACTACCATCGCTGTAGACCATTCTCCCACATGAATCAAGGGAAGAAAATTTTGATGTTATATAGGAAGTAAGTGCATTTCAACAGTCTGGAAAGCTTCAGTGATATCTGCAGGCTGCTTAAAGAGTAGCTAGTATGAAAGTACAATAAAGCACAATAACAGTTATGAAGTTTGAAAGTTTATTTGCACTACTGTGCACGTTTTTACAAAAGTATTTCATGGTGTTCTACATAAAGCTTCTTAGCAATGAGCTGATATATACCACAAATTCACTGGTAGCTGCAGTGAAAAACAGTTTAATTAAGGTGCATTTTCAATGTATGCAAATTTTGAATTTTCTTTTGTAAAATATTTTCTAGCAGCAGAGACTTTCCTTCACATATGTGCACCTTGCTTGCTTATCAGTTTAGGTGGAAGAAGCTTATGAATGTATCCAAAAAAAAAAAAAAAAAAAGACTATTTTAAAAAACTGAGATCATTTTCTGGAGTAACTCTTCTAACATTTTGAAGAAGAAGACCTAGAAGCAAACAAAGTTATTTTTGTTTCTATCTGGCAGGGTGGAGAATGCTATGCCAGTTTCAGATGTCACCTGTAATAGAAACTTCAATTCCTATGTTTGGAATTCATACATTCTGAAAGTCAGGAAACRTGATTGAAAATCTCCCAGTATACAGTGAGTCTTCCGCATAACACAAAGAATTTTCAGTAAAGACGTCACTTCAGAAATTTCTTTCCCAGACTGAAAGCCTAGACTTTCCAGAATCAAATTCTACTCCACAAATTTCTATCTTTTCCCTAACATTAAAGTTTAGGTATTGGTAGTTCAATTAAAATTATTTGGTAAATTATTCCCAGAAAATTTAAGCTCTCCTTTCAATATTTTCAACCCRTTTTTCTAATACACCTGTGAATCTACATTTAGAAGCACAAGCCAGTTTCCGTTTTCCATTTAGATCTCAAAATCTAAACTGAGTGGCSCACTTGATCTTGTTGATTTTAAAGCTTACGAGCTTCTTGGTCACAGAGTCAGGCTTAGACAACTACTAATATGAAGTGTCCTCACAATGTAATTGATACTCTCTTATCTTAAACAGCTCTTTGTACAAAGCTTTCAAAATGCATAATACTTAGCKTCCTGAACTGAAATACCACCTGAACTGAAACCAAAACCAACCAACCTCATGTTCTGCATTGTTTTTGAGAAAGATAATCTCCTGATCCAATGTAAAATATAGCTGTATAAATATTTGTTCCAGCACAACTGAAGTGATGTGTTGCAGTAAGGTGACAGGAAGAAGGAACTGGGAGCAAGGAAGTAAAACCCTTGGGCAGCTTTGTCACCAAAGACTTAGTTTTATAAAACCAAGTCTAAGGCACAGAAGAGATCCATCATTAAGCTACTGGCATTTGCAAGGGACATGATGTAGCAGAACAATGAAGACAAAGTCAAAGGCTTTTTTTTAAACCTTAATTGTACTTTTAATTGTAGTGCTTCCCTGGACTATCACCTGAACTCTATAAACATTGGTACTGCTCTATTAATTAGTATAAAGGTACAGCAAGAACACAGTCCCCAGAACCTTATTCTCAGTGGCTGTGTCAGTTTACTGAGTTCCCTTCTGTCTATAGATGTATGTTCCTTCCCTTGTGCTACCCTCAAGCTACGCAGCTGTACTGAGGGCTGTCTCCTTATAAACAGCCTTTTTATCACTGAAATGTGATACTCACTTTAAAAAGATCTGGGGAATTGAAAACCAGTAATACTAACATTGATASTGCAGAAATTAACAGAAAGTATTCTACTGTAAGCCCTTAAAAAATAAASATGCATGTGTACAGGAAAAGTTCTGTAAAACATTTTTTTTGAATTTCTAAAATGTATTTGACGAGGTGACGAGGAAAAACATTATTGTCATGGTTTTGTCATACAAATAAATAATTTTTAAGTAACAAGAAATGAGGGTAACAATAAATAGTAAGTTTTCATAGAGGAAGGCGTTCACTAGAAGAGCATTGACTCTGATCAGTGACTCTGATTTGATACTAAATAGGGATTATCCACACTATTGTCCAGGACATAATTCCACAGTTTACATGTGGATAGGGAGTAAAGGAAAACAGAAATCAGTTTGATGTAGTAATTTATTAAACTATTAGCAAGCACTCTTTAAGTCATATTGATGGAAGATTGTTCAGTGCGTTTCTCTGTATCTAACCCAGAAAAGATCTATTTTCATYAAGGAAACTGAGCTTTCAACAAAGCTTACTATATCCTTGATCTACTTTGTTAGAGAAGACTTTTTTAAAACCACAGAAACAACTTTTAAAAGCCTCAGAAAATAGAAGTCCAGTATTGTTTAAGACAGAGCTTATTCTTTTCTGACTCATCAGCGTTGGTCTGGCTGCAATTTGTCAGACTGGTTGCGATTGTGAAGAAAAAACAGTCCAAGTAACATTTTGAGCAGSAAGATGAGGACTGTTCCGTAAAAAAAGTGTTTAGCACAAGACTTGAGATTTGCTAATTTCTAGGCCTAAACTCAGATTATCTGCAAGTCCATTTTAAGATTCACAAAATGGAACAAAAAGGGTTTATGGTCAGTAGCTGCCCTGCAGTGCTTAAATGCTTAACTTCACATGATTTTCTTCATTAGCAAAGCTGTATCAAGAAGTTCCTACTGATCACCTTCAATTATTTATTCTAACTCCTGTGCTATTGCATGCTATTACTTAATTTACAGCTTCACTAGCTATTGTAAAAGTAACTCTATTTTTAAAYGGTTTTTATATATATWTTTTTTARTTTGGTCTATATCAGTAAATCAGACCACAGAGATGCTCTGCAAGCAATTGTGTTAGCACAATTCAGTTGCAGTGGAGTGTGGGAGCTGGATTTGAAGCTTGGATGTGAGGAGGTTACAGCTGTATGGCCAGCAAAGAAATTGTGAATGGAAAGACAGTTACTGCTAATAAAGAACAATAGGTGCCTTTGATAAATGACTAGGTACTTCTACACACTGTGTAGGATGTCCCTGATATTGTGCATAAAAATTCTGGAAAAGCTGTACCTAACATTCAGTGTTTATGTTTGTATGTGCATCTCCCATTGAAGGTGGGGAATTCTGCAATTTCTACAGGAATCCAAGAGCTGTGAAAGCCTAAGGAAAGCTAGTGAAAGGAATGATGACTTCTGTAACTTGCAATGTATTATGCTTTTCATTGCACAKCAAAACTCACCTATTAAATAAATTATAAACTGGATATATGCATTATTTCAATCTTACTCCAACTGTCTTCAGAAAAAAAAAATCTTGTGTCTCTTAATCTCAGTTACCTCCTTTTTGTTAGTCACTTTACTTTTTTGCATAGCTGGAAGAAAATTCATAGGAAGGATTTGGCTTACAATAACCTATGTGTTCATTAAATAATATAATTTTAAAGCTAAGTGTATACCTTCACAAAGTGTGAACATTAGGCAAGAGAATGTGTCTTGGAGAGCAAGATGATTTTCTCTTTATATCATTAAAATATAATAGAGCTATCTTATATTTAATGTCAAATGTCTTTAGAGAGCATATTCTCACTAATAGTTTCTTTTAATGCACATGCAGGAGTGAAAACTGCTTTTAAAAGAACTCTATTTATAGAGTTATTTTTCTGTCTTTCTTTTATCCTATTCCCYTCTGTCTCACATGTTCCCTTGCCTAACAATCAATTGGATTCTCTTTCACAGCAGAAATATGGTAGTGGTCTAGATGAAGACTGGCTAATCAGATATAGCTCACTCAGTGGGACACTTTAGAGACATTAATATGTATAAAACATAGCAGAGTTTATTGTGGATGCCACTGAGTCACAGAAGTACACAGCTCTGACTTTATTGCTATATTACACACTCACAGAAAAAATCAAAACTTCTGAAGACATACATTTCCAGATTCCTTGAGATGACAGCATCATTTTAAATATTAGTATGGCTTWAATTAGGGAGAAATTTTATCACTGATAATATTTAGACTTCAAATAAAATAATAATCTGTGTGTAATAAAATACAAGAGAATCATCAACTAAATTTAACTAGTAGATTTGTGAATGTATTCCAGGACCTTAAATTATAATTCTGTTTAAAAGACTATGTATCAATTCTATATAAATATMCTTACTTAGCAATCTCTTTCTAATGTTAAAAGCTATGTAGGAGCTAAAGCTTTCAGGTAATCATTTATAAGCTAAATTCAAGTCTCAGCAAGACTTTTAAATCCTAACTATGGAGCCATGATCATAATCTTGCAGTCTTTTCTGAAGGAATGATTTCAGCCTTTAAAATATTATGTTACTATAAATACATTTGGATGTTGCCTGTATCCAGATATGTTACTTTTTAATATTAAAAATACAGACTGAAACAAATCATATGATTTTCAGATAAACCATTTGATATAGTTAGTGGATAATGTATAAAAATCAGCTAAGAAAATATTGTATCACACTTCCAAAGACCAAGAGTCTATTTATTATGTTAAAGACTAATGTGGCAGTCTGTTTTCTCGGGATTAGTGCTCTTATCAAGTGATTGAAGGCATGAGCCTTATGGCCTCATATCTTAAAATTTACTCAAGTTAGCAATAATCTCCATGAAATGCACAAGCTGACTTGTTTTATTGTTTAATTAGCATCTTCCCTTCCCTCTCCTCCCCTCCCTTCCCCTCCTCTCCAGTTCCTTTCCCTTCCCTTCCCTTCCCTTCCCTTCCCTTCCCTTCCCTTCCCTTCCCTTCCCTTCCCTTCCCTTCCCTTCCCTTCCCTTTTCCTTTTTTCTCTTTTTTCCCCACATGTTCACTTACTTTTTATGGGGATAATGAGCTGAGGAACAACAGGAAGAATCTTGTTGCCACCATGTTCCAGCATGTCATGGATTCCTTGCCGAGCAAAAAATTCATACGGAAATGTCATTTCAGTAAGCCCATCAAAAAACAGAGGTAGGTAATAATGATAGTCCAKCTTCTCAATCTCTACCTGAAAATACAGAAAAAAGAAATTCAATTGAACAAAATCAATGTAATGTGATAAGACCAACAGGTATTTCATGCCATCTGCATAGGCCTCTTTGATAAATAATCATTTTCTTCRTATTTTTTGCAGGATATCAAGTCTCAATATGGTTTGTGGCCTAATTTCTACACTGCCCCATTCACTTGGTCTTTGGTTAGATTAAATTAGAGATTCAGATATCTGAAATCAGCATTTGAGAGTTTTCAATTAAGTCAGTTTCAGATTCTGATAACCTTACTTATGCGCTTCATTTTGTAAGTTGCCCACTGGAAGCAATCAAACTGTTTTCAGAATGATCTGCTTGTTTCCAGGAACAGAGAAAAGATCTTTACATATTCACTTTGTCGCTTGAAAAACAATAGGAAGAAGAATCTTATAGTCAAAAATCAAGCACTGTACAAATATCACCACCAGTGCAGAATTCCCATCTTTTTAGAATAACAACCTCCTTTTATTGATTCAGAACAGTATTTTAAAGAAAAAAAGAGCTTCTTGCATAAGAAGCCTCACATGTTCAAAAGCTCGCTTATTTTTTTCTAGTGATAAAACATGATCAATAAAAGACATTACCTACATATACAAACGCTGTTTTACTATTCCCATGAACACATTACAAATACATCAGAATGTAATATGATTTCTAGGTTCAAAAATATAAATTTGAGTTGTACACATGACACAAAAGTCYGATTTTGAAATAAACACCTCGAAAATCCAGGTATTACAAGCTGTTGTTGATCCAGCATTGCGTGTACTACTTGGTTCCAAACCCATCAGTGGTTGGCAACTGGCACTGCTGTGAAAAGGACTCTGATTTCTATCTCATTTCTTGAAGTGTCAGCTGTCTAAGCATAGAGCCAATTTTACTTAGCATTTTTGTGCTCTATAATAACTCCCACAATATGGAAGCCAGAAATATTTTGCCTTACATTCTATGGCATGAAACCTTTTCCTTCTGTGTTTATTATTTAGCTTTCCAAAGTGGCTATTATACAGCTGTTCTGAGAAAAATGTGATTTTTTTTTGTTTACACCCACAAAATTCTTTTGTTATTTTCATTTCCACCCACAAAAGATGCTGATTAAGGCTCAAATTCTTGCCAAACTTGCCCACATCTGACAGCAAGGCTACAATGGATTTCAACAAAAAAATATCACAGTAATTATTATGAATCTCTATACTGCTGTTTTTTTTGTTCCAAAAACCCAACCTCTGAATTTTCAGCAATTAGGCCAAAAGTTACATAACTAAAGAATAATCACACAATGAAAACTGTTGTATTGGAATCAGTAAGAATTTTGCACATTCCATGAAATCTGCATGATATCTCTATGTATTATAAGCAGTTCTAGGCGAGAAATGAACAATATATCATTTATGCTTTCTGTTTTGTCAATGTACACAACAAACCAATGCACAGCAAGATGTGAGTAAAAAAATGGCAGTATCACAATTAGAAATATTCTGTCCAGCAGAAGATGTGTTCCTGTGAAGCAGGCTAAGGTGAGAGGAAAGTTTGTTGAGATAATGAGAAACCAGACGAAGAATCTATGGGGTCAGACAAAGAACCCAGACAAAGAATCTATGGCGTCAACAGTAAAAAGATGCTTTTTGGCATAGCTGCCTGTTACATAAAGAAAGCAAACTGTTTGAGAGAAGGTATGGGGCTTGACAATAAAGATATCATTGGCCTGTCTTAAACAGTCATACTTAAACTAATCTGGTAACCTATAAAGTGAACATAAGTTTTAGAACCTAGTGTTTAAGGTACATAAACAAATTAATTTTCCATACCATTTCACACAATTAAACTCAATTGACCACATAATGCTATTTGTCTTGGATGTGTGATTTGCCAAAAATAGGAATAAAAGCATTTACCTAGTTTTTTGGACATTGAATGAAAAATAAGTATATTAGAATAAAGTATATTAGAATAATCAGAACTGCTGATTTGAAAAGGACAAACAAGAATTTTTGTAAACAAAGAATAAATCTTTTTAAGATTTGTTTTCCATTTTGTGCCATCTATGGTTGACAACTTCTAGCTATTTCATCTCTATTTTCTAGGTTTATGGAAAGAGAAAAGTGRAAACATTCATGAATATCTTTACTTTTGAACTTCACTAATTTGAAGCCTATGTATTTCATGGCTTTTATTTTCTTGATGTTAGTAGCTTTGTCACTTGATTCATAACTGGATACCAGTTTTAAGCATTATTGTGGAGTAATTAATCACATTAACACTTTCTGGACTTAATTGAATGTCATTTTTAAAATAAGAACTTATCATAATACGATAATTTAACTTTTTAATCTAGTGAYTTATCAACATATGGTAACTTAACTAACAAGACTCTTACTGTTCACAACTCAGTTTTGTATTGTATTTAATAATTTTTWTTCCTTGTAAGTTTTATAGAAAGAAACTGTTCACTATTTCAGTCTGCTTTAGTTCATCTTTTAATACAAAACACAGAGGCTGATACTACAAAGATTTTGAGAGAATTTTAGTTAAAATTATTGTGTTCTACTAAAAAATGGCGACASAATTGTGCCTATATTTTTGCATCCCATAGTAAAGTGATAAAGTAGCTATCTTAAAACAAGTAGGAGACAAAAGATTWTCAACCTCCAGGAGAAAGAGATAATGACAGAGCAGAAATTAGACTGACGCTCTAACACAAGTCTTTGCAACTTTGCCAAATTGAATTTAGAGCCTCATCTACATTCTATAGATATCTGTGTCCCGCAAGAAGTTAAATGACAAAAGAAAATATTTACTTTCCATGGTTAAATTAAAGGAAGCAATAAAAATCTGTTTTTGGAGTATTACCATGCTGAACACCTGTATTCAGCTCTGCAACAGCAAGTATTCCTTTATGTAAAAAGGAAAAAAAAACTGAAATTTTACCAAAAAAAATTTAAAAAAAGTAATTTTGAATTTAATTCCTTCCCTATTGGGTTGATGTTAGTTACTAGAGTAAGGCTACCATAAACAAAAATAGCTGGGAAATGCTAGGGAGAGCATTGATCTATTTTATTTTCTAAAACAAAATATAATTCTTTTTTTTTAATCGTGTTTTCTATATCTTTATGTCCTATTGCTCTATTAAAGGAACCTTGAACACAATAAAATCTAAGACTAAAAACACTGGAGAAATGTATGATATGAAAAGGTTCACAATTCTGATGCATTCTGATGCATTACCTAGAAAGTAAAGTAAATGCATTCTAAAGGTTTTTGCTTTTTCTCTTTCCTAGCTTAAGGGCACACAGTGATCCTACAAGCTCCTCCGAAATGAAGCACTACAACCATAACTCCTTATCCCCACACACGAATTGACCCTGGTTGCCTCTCTCCCTCACTTTTCTATTTTCTCCCAGTTGAGGCTGCTACCAAATCCATGTGGATTGCTTTCCAGTTGTAGATAAGGCTCATAATAAAAGGCATCTACTTTCTCCTGGTTCTGGCATGAGACCCATGAATGAGCAGTATGGCTACAACCRAAATCTGCAAGACTGTAAAACCAGCCTATTGATAATCCACCATAAGCACCACTGGCTGGAGTTAGATAAAGAGAAAAACAAGAAATACTGAGAAAACTACCCAAACATAAGTCATTACAGCAGACATTCCTCAGATACCATTTGCAGGACAATTGCTACTAGCATTGCAGAGGCCCAAATGGTGCTGCATGAGATAACCAAAACATTTCCTTCCCAAACAGTCACCAAGCCAGAAGGAGATAGTACAAACTCACTAGTATTACTGATAGGGTGAAAAAAATTAATGGTCAAGAAGAAGGACAAAAATGGAGACAAGGAAGATCTAAGTTCGTGTAAAATGTTTCCCAGACAGAGAAGAGGAAAAAAGAATTGCATTATTCAGCCAGACTGAAATCTACAAATTCAAACTAAGAATTAACATTTATTTAAGACATGGAGTCTCAGCTACATATGTGAATCTCTTAACACTCTCTTAGCAGTACCACACAGAAGCTAATGTAAGAAATTAATGGATTTCTTCCATCTTTATAAAATTTTGTAGTTGTGCTGCCTTTATTTAGATTTCGTAAATATACACTTTGCTGCTGCTACAGAACAGGCAGGTCTTGCCAAGGCTGAAGAGGGCCAGATTATCATACAGGAAAAACAGGATGACCAAGAAGTCTGGATTTAAGCCTAGCATTATAGCATGAAGTGTTAAAGTGATGGACTAAGAGTAAGAATTTCTGTTACAGTATAGAAGTTCATCAGAATGACATAGTAAGACAGGAAAAGACTTGAGCAGAATAATTAATCACTATGAGACACCAATACGATACAGATATGAAAAGGGCACATATGATCTAAGATGTATCAGATATTTCTAGTATAGATGTGGAATCRTTAATGCTATTATATAAGGCATCGGTGAGATCTCAAATGTTATTATCATCAATTTGCCTTATGTGAGACATCTAAATTTTATTCCCATTAATTCTCCAGTGAAAATAACAGACAAATTGATACCTAAGATACCCAAAACTGAAAAAGGAAATCAAATATTTTAAACTTATTACTGTTTATTTGGAGTTTGATTAGATCAGATCATCTGAATTAAGTGGCTTCTTAAAAGAAATGCAAAATACATTAATCTTCTAATCAAACAAACAGCTACACACTACGCTTAAAGGATTGCTTTCTATTAATTGACGAAACGTATTATGAACGGAAGCCAAATGTACCCGGAGAAAAGCATTCTGTAAACATCATTCAAACAAATGTGGAATGAACTCCCAAAACTGTTTGTGTGAAGCAAATAACGGGCCACGCTATTTTTTCAGTAGCAGAGAAAAAACCCACCACCACCTCAGGCTCTTTCTTTTTATAGTCCTCTTGCTACTCAAGACCTGCTGGCACCTTGTTAAGCACTGCCATGATTTTTCTTTACACAAGTTACAGACATGTTGCAA